AGCAATGGTGGTGGTAGAGGCAGAATTGCAAAGATAGCGCCTCGGTTCATAGCATAAGACACGGGAGGAGGAGCTATGCGCAGAGATAAATTGCCAGTACGAGCGGAATGGCTAAGATCGCCAAAAGAGAGAACAAGGACGAGAATGTCCAGAGTACACTCTGGACAGCCTCAAGCTATCACTTTCAGGTGTCTTAAGTGCCGACAAGGCCCAAGAATAGAAGTACACTCCTATCAATGGTAGGGAGACGAGGGACGGACGTCACTGGGCAAAGGCCGCAGGTGGGAGGTCGCAAAGCATCAGCTTTCCCAATCCATGCAAGCTCAGGCGCTGCGTGGCCAAGCAGTGCCCGTTCTAGGCCCAGAACAGCGGCTTGACGGTAAGCTGGTCTCTGGCTGCCAGGCGTCCAACAAGGCATTCCTTGTGCCTTCTCACCACTCTCGTCTCTCATCTGCCACCACCCCTGCTCTTGCTCTCTCCAGATCTGCCTGCCACAGAGTTTACTCTGTGGCTGGTGCTATTAGCACCCTTTGTACGCTGCAACGACATTTGCATTAGGCTAGACGGCGAGCTTTGCAGCCAGTGTGACAGGACTGTCTTCGACACCAACTCGCAATGCGACTCCCAGAATGCACGCACCTTGCACACAATATCAAGTGAGGGATGCTATGGGTCTGACCAGAGTAGAGAAGAGCAATGCGAGAGAGGTGCTGGCAAGATGCTAGAGCTTGCAAAAGGTGCCTCGTCGTCATTATTCTGCACCAGGTCTGGCTTACCATGCTCGACACTTGGAGCTCGCACGCCGACCCTGCCAATTCTACTGCAAGCACATCCTGCATGCAGGAAGGCAATCGTCAACCAAGACACCCTGTACTCTTCCATCCCACCATGCTATGCCCTAAGTCTGAAGCCCCACAGCACACGATGTCAAACTCAGAGCTATGCCCAAGGCCCGCTACTCTCTTGCCACTTCCAGCTCAGCATCACTTCACGCACGCCCAGTGACATACAATTGCACATCGCTTTGCGGACACCCAGCAACACACAATTGCATACTGTCTCACTTCCAATACGGCTGCATGGCTCTCAGGGCTCGCTAAGGAACGACGCACATTATTATGTTACAAGAGCACCTACATGTACCCCTGCACTGTGCTAGGGCTGATATGCACAATGATGCATGCTTCCAATGCACCTTGTTCTGCATACAAGCCCCAGCAATGACACGCGCACTCCTGGATGTACTGGCAGAAGAGAGCATCAGCTATTAGTCAAAAGTGTTCACGTATACCCAGCTGCACATTTCAGAATGTGCAGCCAGGTATACGTGAGCTGCTTTGACTAAGCACCTGCTGCTGGCACTAGCACTTTGCATCACTGACGTGTCGGGTGCGCTAGCACTTGCCCAATCGGACTTGGCAGCTGCTCTGCACTCATGGTCTTGTCTTGTCCTCACCTTACCCTCCCTCCCTCGTGCTATCCACTTGCCATGGAGTATACTCCATGGCTAGTGCTATTTACTCTTCATTCTGCACTGCCTACAATCTTTGGCAACTTCTAACCGCGTTCTGTAGTGCCGGTGTCATGCATCAGGTGATTCCTGGCATGGAAGCGAGGCGTGAAGCCTAGGGACCACTTACTGAGCTTGCGAGATCTGTCTGTAACCGAGACACACCGTTTAAAGCTCGAGCTGGAGTCTCGACAGAGGAAGCGAGGTGCGTGTAGCAGCACAAGAGATGTGAGGGCTCTGACGCTAGAGGTGCATTGCCTATGCCATCTGTTCTTGATGGTAGGCCTGACGATCAGCGTCAGATGCTCCCGCTCCAGAATCTAACATTTGAGCTTCCAAACCTGCCATGCACCTCAGATTGTACAACAGGCTTCACCAGCTCAGCAGCTGGTTCGATCACTGCATCAGGCCAGCACGTCCGACTTGTCACGTGCCGCAGTACACCTCAGGACACCTTGACTCCACTCCTCCTCGCCCATCAGACCTGTCTGCTATAGAGTATACTCTGCAGCTAGTGTTTCCAGCCTTCTTCATATGCTATAGCGATGCCTGCACTAAGCCAGGTAGCAAACTCTATGGCCTGCACAACTAAACCAACTCCTACACCTACACGCAACGCGACTCCCAGAGCACATACGCCCTATGCATGATGACGAGCATGGAGCACCGCAGCTCTGTCCGTAGCAAACAGGAGGGCGAGGTGCTAGGACTTGCGAGAGGTACATCATTGTTGCTATTTGTCTGCACTAAGCCCGGCCCACCATATTTGATGCCCAAAACCTGCGCGACGACTTTAACAATCCACCAGCAGGCATGTCCCGCATGCAGAGAGTCGATTGTCAGCCGGGGTAGGTCGTGCTCTTGTCTCCTTGCATCACGCTTTGTGCTTCATACCTTTGCAGAAATGGTGTCGAGCCCGAGGCTATGCCCAAGGTCTGCTGCCCTCTCGCCACTCCCAATGCATTGTCACCTTATGTATGCCCAGCAACACGCGATCGAATACCACCTCACTCTCAGCATGGTTGTACGTTGCGCCGGACTCACTGTGGAACACCATGCACCATCACACTGCAAAGACAACAACTCCCTCCTTTGCGCTGTACTAGGGCTGTTATGTACAACGGTGCATGCTCTCCGACGTGCTTTGTCATACATACAAGCTCTGGCAATAACACGTGCACTCCTGTGCGAGGAAGCAGTGCTCAGAGAGCCCAGCTCCAGCATCAGCAATTAGTCAAAGGTGTTCACATATACCCAGCTGCACATTTCAAAATGTGCAGCCGGGTATACGTGAACATGTCTGACTCACACTGAATCACTAGTACGTTGGGTCCAGCAACACTGGATCACCAGTGCGTCAGACCTGACAGCACTCGTGCGACCAACCTCGAGCACCCATGGGCACACCCGCTTGGCAGTTTCTGCATCTTTGATGGTGTACCGCTTGTCTGCGCTTCTTGTGCTTCTCGTGCTCCCTCCACACACACTCTCTCCATGCTCTCCTGCCTGTCCATCTGCCTGCCGTGGAGTATAACTCCACAGCTGGCATCATTCTCTGCCTGCCAGCCATCTCATGTGCTTGCACGACTTGCTGACCAAAGCACCCCCACAGCAGCGCTGAGACGACCGGCAAGCAACTCAAAACACTCGGTTTGCTACTGAGACAGTCGTCCTGCACCCACGCCAGTCTGACAGGAACTGCAGTGAGCAGCTCATGACCAAAAACCCATGCCGGCTATCTCTAGCGGACCACTAACGACTCGCACATCAAGTCCATCTTTTCCTGGCCCTGTATCTGACGTCCTTCACACATCCCGTAGCTGTCCAGGTGATACTCAGCACTTGCTACAAAAGTATACTCTGTAGCTTGTGTGGCTGGGACTCCACCATCACCAAGACGGCCACATATAACGCCGAATGCACAATTGCAAACATGTCTTGGCTGCGAGCATTAGAAAGCGCGAGGCACACATCTTGCAACAAGGACTGGATGTGACCGTTAGGTGACTCATAGTAACTAGGTCATGGTTTCGTGACAATACTCTCCGTTAATCGGATGTTTCGACTAAGTAGCATTGTTCATTGTTCATAGTGCACGTGATCTCTCGCGGTCTGGGACTCATAAGTTTGAGCCCAACCTAAGAAATGGATCCTCTTTTGCCTACACCCATTGTCTGCGCTCTGAAGAGCAGCCGACCAGGTGAGTAGTGAGCTTTAGATACACCAATCGCACGATTAGAAAGTTGCACTCGACGTCTGCACGACGCACATGTAGACGCGTTGCGGAATGCCGCCCGAAGCCTCGAAGCCTTGTCGACTGTTGAAGGCTCTCTCTACTAACACCTCTGCTCCTTTGAGATAGACTTGTTGGTCACCTTCATCGACGACTACCTAGATATCTGTGCCGACTCCGAAACGGGCGCCACACTGGAGACATTGCGAACAGAGAACGGAACGTGCGACAGAATTTTGGGCCCATCTCAATGAAGCTGTGTGGCACGCAGCTCACGTTAGAAATGGCTCACCTGACCTCCAGCAGCCGACACTCACTGCCAATGCATGCGCTTCAGACTAGCTAATGACACCCCACAAGAAGCCCCAACCTACTCGCTGCACATCTTGCAGCACACCAACGTTCTGCATCACCACCCAGTGCCTTGCACACATGCCCGATGCTGATACACCGGGCCTAAGCAACACCACTCGCCAATGGTGCATAGTTACGTGGTATATCGCGATGCACCCGGCTCTGGTTGCTTCCCCAGTGTCAGATGGCATGAGCCAGGCAAACAAATACTCACTTAAGCAAAGCGAGTGTTCATTTGACTGAATTCTCCCAGCTCCTCACGTCCTGCGGGGGCCAATTACCCCTGCCGCTATGTCATTCCAAGTTAGCATTGGCAGCGCGATAACAAACTCACACTGACTATTCCCCGACCTCACAGCTCGAGTGGACGTTTCTAACCAGGTGGGGAAGCCAGGCATGTTAACTCTCTGGTTATGGCCACTACATCCTCTCATTTCAGAGGAGCATCAGCTAAGGGGAAGACACCTCATGCTGGTCTGGTCCTCCTCGCCTGGTTTCCTCAAATGCGTGCACAATCATGCCATCAACGAGGACCTGCCGCATTGGAGCGAGGACCCTCAAATCTTCAGTGAGCCTAGAATCCCACTGGCATGCACTTACAGTTGTCTCTCCAGCCTCCCATGACCCTACACCCTCTCGCTCTCCTCGCATAAGCCAGAGTTTACTCGGCCTTTTAATCGAAAGCCCCCGTGCTGATGCTAATCTTGTACATCACGTGCATACATCGCAGCCTTCTCGCTATGCTTGGTGAACGCGTTTAGCCGCTCTCCTACTTTTCCGCTCTCCCGCTCTTCCTCTTAGTGTACATCTCGTTTGCTCACATCATCATAGGAGTCAGTCATCTCCTCGATAAAGACTACATCTTCATCTGTGATCTCCATGGATCAGGAGACCCTCTGAACAATGTCTTCTTTTGCAATAAGTCAGACTTTGAGTAAGTGCTACCATTCTGTTGCCCACTTTGCTGTGTCTTTATACGGGAACACACCTATACAGCACTCTCATGACAAGAGAGAATGCTCAGGAGCTGCGGAACACCTGAGACAGCTTTTTAGGCCCCTGCTCTAATCGCGCTGCTTGCAACCCTATTCAAGACAAAAATGGTGCCATGATAGGAGACACACTCTTTAAGAGGATTGAGCAGCCCATTGGAATACAGAACACCTGCGCGTATACCATAGCGACCAGTGACCAGATACAAAACTCTATTCACTCCTCTGTGGTGTGGGGCAAACTGGATAGGTCCTCAGGAAGTCTCGGCCACATTGATGAGCTTTCCAATAATCACAAACTCAGACCCGAATTCATCAAGGTGAGTCACCAATAATCATTGCTGAATGCCAGCACTGAGCATCCTGCTTCAGATCACCACCCAAGCTGCTATGGCAAGCTGGCGCACCATACGAAAGACACACCAGAGTGTTATCAAGAAGCAATCTTCTGTTGTGAACACTCCAAGAATAGGCAGCCACAAGAACACGGCGTTCACAGCAATACAAGTTAATGTGTTGGCTGCAAAAGAATACTCCTGCCCACCACGCCCTCAAAATTCCCTGCAAAGAGACTACCTTCACAGCAATGCATGCACTGCAGCTACAGACAATCCAGCTGAGCTCGCGGAGGCTGCTGCAATCTCTGGCCTGGACATATCCGAGCTGACTGAGAACTGCAGTATGTTCCTGATCATACTGGCCCATTATCCTGATAGCCTCATCACAGCCTCCGCAGCTTGCCTCCAGAAGAAAATTGGTTTGTTTGCTTACATGCACATTGACAAATGGGACTCTGTTGGCGCGGTCTCAAGTCTCCTCTTCTGCTCTGATCTGCCTGAAAGCTACGACAGTAGAGTTCTTTTCTTTCCCGAGATCGGAATGATCACGTCTTTGAAGGGCACAGGCTGCATTAAATTTTGTGGTCTCCACCGACATGGAGGAAGGCCTTCAGCTCCAACAAGACACCAGGATGAAGTCCCAGACTGGCTGTATTGTCTGGTCGTAGTTCATTACCCTCACACTGCTTTTCTTGACAGACGTTCAGTTATGGCAGTTATGCCCTCTGCCCTCAGTGGTCCCAGCTCTGGTCAGATTCTCTTTATTTGCCCAGAACTTCAGCTACTCAGGTAGGCCTACCGAATCTGAATAGTATTGCACCTTGATTGATCCCTTATGTCAGCCACGATAGGCCTATTCCTCCAAGTGTGGAATCAGTGTCCTTTGTCAGAGATGGTATAGCCGTCATGCAACTCCAATTACTCTTCCTCTTCGCCATCTGTGCTATCACCATGCTGGTTGTCAACTGTCTCTGCCAGCTCCCATCATCTTGGATGGTCAAAGTTGACACTGATCAAATGATAAGTGCAATCACTATGGAGCATGAAAGCCAGCGTGTAAATGCTGGGCTATGGTCAGAAGCACTAACTACACAACAGTTCAACAATCATTTTGAGCGCTCCAACAATTCTCCTTTCAGCAGCAATGCTACAGATGCCACACCCACTATACCGCACACCAGCCCTTCAAGCAGTTCGGCTCATGTTATCTCAGTCCAGAGATGGAGAGATCATTGCGAGTCACACCAGCTTTTTGTCCCAAGCTACTACTCAAACTACAATGGACCTCACGCCGCCGGAGATTCTAGAGATGAGCTGCCATTTGAAGATCACGCAGAAGATACACGAAATTACCACAATAATTCAAACCAAGATGGCTCTGAACCTGCAGGTCTGTAGTTCTTCTCTGATCCAGTGAATGCTGCTCTTCTTGCCTCTATCCTTTGCTCACTCTGCTATGCAGATGCTAGCTTAGCCAACACTACAAACGGCAAGAGAGGACGAACCAAGCCCTTAGATAGTACCAACAAATGTGAGCCCAGCCCATTTTACAACATTTCTCTCATTTTCAACACTGCACAGGCTCTCGCAACCCCGATGGAACTTTGGGAGTGGCTATATTGAGCCACTCAGAGAAAAGGCTTATAGCAAAGGCATCAAATGGCCAGCTAGCCCTGCTCGGCTCTACAGCAGCAATTACAGTTGCCCAGATGATGATAGCAAGACATGAAACCAACCTTTTATCTGAACTCACACAAGGTTATTTGGAGCAAGGTGAGATATAGTATTACGACACAGAGTTGGTTACAACTTGCCAACTTTTTATTTCCAGAATCCTTACTGCCAACAAAGACACAGGAGTTGGCTCAGGAGATGCCACCTAAACATGCAGGTACTAATACCACTAATACATCCAGTAGGCTGCTTTTTGACTCAATTTAAAACCATTATCCCTAAGACCCTCTTAAGAGTACATGCAAAAGCTAACCTCCAAAAAGCTTCAAGAGATACTTAAGCTGGCACAAAAACAGAACAGTCAGGCTTAAAGCCTTAAAGAGAGAGACTCCTTCACTCAGCGCATTCAAGCTCACATGGTCAACATGTTCAAACTTCTTGGTGAAGAAGCCTACACCTTTGAGAGCTTCCAGAGCTTTCCCAAGAACTGGAAGCTTATGAGCAAGCTATTTGACTATATTTGCTGCACCGACATAAGTGCAAAGGTTATTTGCCACAAATACCTCTTGGCCTTTCTTCTGTCATTCCTTTGGCTAGAGAGCCTGATAGAGGAGGCAATGTCTGTGATAAAAGAGCTAGCTGTACAAAGAGTGGAAAAAGATGAGTGTCACTTGAATGACAACCTGGTCTATGATTTGTTGATAACACTGCTAGCAACCTGGCCGACCTGGCTGATGATCTAGCTGACGATCCATCATGCAGATCTGTAAAAGACCTAGCAAACCAATCATCAAGCAAAAAGAAGACACAATGATACCATGCTCTTGCAAGGGATGTCTACTGGAATGTCAAGAAATGTGCCCACTTTGCCACATACTCCCCAAAGACCTATCACAGCAGCCTCTCCTCTATTCCAGCTATTACCCCATATCAAATAGAGATCACCTCCAATGCGCCATGTTATACCAACTGAAAAGTACAAGAGGAGGTTTTCAAGCAACTTATGGATATTCTCTACCATTGGCTTGGCTTCCCAAGTGAGCCTGATGCCTATGCCAAGACACACTTTCTCTTTATAATCACCACCTACATCTCCTCAGAAATTCTCTACCTGGACAAAACCTACAGAGCCTTTGATTATCTCAGGACACGGGTGTTGTCCCGTGGAAGAAAGAAATTTCCCTGCTCCGCATTCAAGAACTTCATTACCAACAAGTTCTCCATTCACCGCCAAGCTCTGAATGAGCTAGAGCAGCTGTACAACATCGAGCAGCTATACAACATCTGGTACAGCCCTATATCCCTCCCCCTTCCCAGACGCCGGATTCCTGATTGCATAGCAATGTTCTCCAAATTTCTCGCCAAGCTTACACCACTCATCGAAACCCAAGGGCATATAACCAACCTCGGCCAACTCACGGCCAAGGTCTCTAGCAATCAGGATCATTATCTCTCCTTCCGCGAGCATGGCAAATCTTTGGCCAAGGTGTACAAAGCCAAACCTGAACCCTACAATGACAAGCACATGTCCACACGTGCAGGCTTCTTTAGTGCCCTACTTTTCAGAGCGGTAACCTTTGCAGCACCAGTCATCACAAAAGACGGCTATGCTTTCTTCAAGAACTTGAGGAGTTGGCAAAACTTTTATGAGCAATAAAAAGGATGTGGCAAGTCATACTTCACTAACATGACAACCTATGGCACTGCCAACAAACACCGCAACACTAACATTGTCCCAGACCTTTGGAATGCATCTGATTCATGGGAATCCAAAGTTGGGAATTTCAGACAGGGCAACAAGTTCAGTCCTGTTCAGTTTTTTAAGTTCTTGCTTGGCTGCAACAAGCCTCATCATGTCGTCAAGTTCAAAAACATCGGTCCCCTCACTGCCTACCTACTCACCGCTGATTACATTCAAGCTAGCCTAGTTCATATGCCCAACATTAATGAGATGGCAGAGATTGCTCACAGTATAAACCGTGGAGCTATCTCTATCTTACAAGCATTGGTGCTTCTATCCAGAGGCACCTAAAGGGTCACACAGAGTGATGTCGCAATAGCCTTAGAGAAGCTTGTAAATTTTTTGAAGGAGGACTTACTTGCAAGTATAAGACAATTCATCGGCCTTGACTTAGTTCTCATAGAGCATGCCTTATGCAAATTTGTTTGACTTAATGTTAGCTCAAAATTTTTTACCTAGGACCACTTTATGCCACTATCCTCTTATGTGATATGAAAATTGATTTAGCAAGACCAAGAGCATGTCTTAGGCATAGGTTCACAGTGCAAACAGACAGTGAAGAACTGAGACACAACCAAATAAATTACAGATGCCCTACTCAATTTATTACACCAGAGATAGCAGAACCTATCTATCTGCACATACTCTAGAAGATCTCCATGAACTTGCCCAGAAAGTCGCTCTCATTCTCGGGTAGCTCTTTAAAAACCCTCATTCTTTTCATCTGCTTGCTAGCATCTTTGGATTGATCTTCGGTGTCATATTCTGCGCGACGCTTGACATGCCTCTTTTGCATAGTACCTTCAAGACACAGCTGGCTTATGACGGCAGCATTCATATCCTGAGGATACTCAGACACACAACAGAATAGAGAGCCTCATTACCCACCTTCTCTACTGAGCGATCTATAACATAGACAGAGCACAACTTGAGAAGCATTTTGTACTTGTTTTCTGGCACCATTGCTGCAGAGAAAGCAACTTGGACATTCACCATATTTCCGGTCTGAATGGTGCTGGAACTGATGGGAAAATGAGTCACGAGAGAAATTTGGAACTTTTTTGTTACAAAAAATATGCGAAAACAGCCTGAAAAAAATAAGTAAGAAAATGCCATATTTTTCCTCCCGGTATCCGGCAGCCCGGCGACTCGGCAACCCGGCAGCCGAGCCGATTGTCCGCCAGGCCATTGTCAAAGTGCCCGTGGCTGCGGCACCCGACGGACAATCAGCTCGGCTGCCAGGTTGCCGAGTTGCCGGGCCGC